AGGAGAGTGTTCATGTCTCCTTATTCTCTTTGGGGATCAGTTTTATTTAGGGTGAGTTTTTTAGAAAACCTCCAAGGCTTAGCTTATAAAACTGCATGCTCTACAGTTATTACTCGTATGTGGGACATTTGTCACACCTTGGAACGCCGACCTTTCTGGGTTCTGCGTGTGGGCCGTGCCGGTCGGGTGGTGCGGGGCGCGCAGGGCGGGGCGGAGGGGAGGCCCGGGCCCCGGTAGCTCATCAGCTCCTTTTGGAGCAGGCGCTCGGTTGGGGGAGCCGCCCCCCTGATTCGACAGCCGGTGGCACAGGGGTTCCGCCAACTGCAGCCGCCGGCTCTCGGGGCTTCTGCACGCGGAGAGTCCCGGGGGCAGCCCGGGCAGCTCCTTCGGCGCGCTGCTCGGTCAGCACTGCCTCCCTTCCCAAACCGCTCAGCCTGACCGAGCTCTGGATGACACCAGGACACGAGGACACGGCATCCAAGTGTATTGTTGTCCCCTCTTGCTTTTGATCCCGTGCTCTCTGTATTTCTTGCCCTGGTATTTTTCCAAATGATACTGTGACGGCCGTCAAGACACATGGCCCCTGGCTGGTCCGCTGCAAGGAGGAAAGCAGGATACATCTGATGTTCCTTCCACAGGAATGAGAGTGAGGTTACATGAGATGGCAAGATGCGCTTGTCACCCCTGAAAGTACCTGGCGCCTGAGGTCCTTGTCCCCGGGCCTGTGTCCTGGAGGTAGCCTAGCCCTGTAGTCTCCGTCTGAATCACCTTCTGGAAACCACCAGGGGCCATTGTACCTTTGGCAGTTCTGTCCTCTGATATGTCTTTATGAAGGTAGCTTTTTCATAAGTACAGTTTTTCCCCCAAGAAAGTGCCTGTTTCCACTTTCATATAAAATAAGTTCCCCTGTGCCCGTGTCCTGTTTAACACGTCATCTGAGCATCACTTGTTCTGAAACGTTTCCTTGATTTGTGTCTTTGTTCACTGGTGTCGACATAGTTGGCATCTTATAAACAAAGTGAGAAAAAAACGTTACGTTAGCTTTTCGATTCCACGTGGGTGGTACGCTTTAATGGGCTGGTTCTTGTCACACTCCTGTGATGTTGTTGGTGGAGCCCGTTATGGAAGAGCTGACACGTGTTTCTCACTGCAGCGTGCCCGATTCCAGAAAGGGCATTTTACTATTAGATTGCAGCCTTCCCGAAGCTTATTCTATGCCCTAGACATTGGTCGTTTGTTTCATTAGGTGAGGGAAAGGATTTTTGGGAGAACACTATCAAAACCAAAATATACAGAATGAATATACATTTTTAAAAATTGAGGTATAATTGACATAACATTATATTAGCTTCAGGTGTATAATGTAATGATAAGATACGAGATATAGATATAAATGTAGATATAGATATAGATATATGGGGCAAAATAATCACCACAAAATGTCTAGTTAACATCTATCACAATACATTATTGCAAATTTCTTGTGACAAGAATTTTTAAGATCTATTCTCTTAGCAACTTTCAAATGTGCAGCACAGTATCCTTAGCTGTAGTCACCATGCTGTACATTACAACTCAGGACTTATTTATATACTTATTTTATAACTGGAAATTTGTATCTTTTGGCCCCCTTTGCCCATTTTTCCACCCCCAGCCCTGCCTCTGACAAGCACAATTTGTTTTTTCTATGTGCTCAGCTTTTGTGTTTGTTTTTTTAGATTCTACATATACCTGAGATTATACGGCATTTGTCTTTCTCGGACTTATTTCACTTAGCATGCTCTCAAAGTCCATGTTGTTGCAGATGGCAAGCTTTTATTTATTTACATATATTTGTTTGTTGAATTTATTGGGGTGCCATTGGTTAATATTATATAGGTGTAAGTGTGCAGTTTTATAACATCATCTGTACGCTGTACTGTGTGTTCACCACCCCAAGTCAAGTCTCCTTCCTTCACCGTATGTCCGCCTTTACCCACTTCTACCTCCCTCCACCCCCTTTTCTCTCTGGTGACCACCATACTGTTGTCTGGGTCTATGAGGTGGTTTTTTGATGTGGGGTTTGTTCTTTTCTTTTTTTTTCTTAATCCCTTCACCTTTTTCATCCAACCCTCATCCCTCTGACAGCTGTGATCTCTGTATCTATGAGTCTGTTTCTATTTTGTTTGTTAGTTTATTTTATTCATTAGATTCCACATGTGAGTGAATCATGTGGTGTTTGTCTTTCTCTGCCTGGCTTATTTCACTTAGCGTAATATTCTCCAGGTCCATCCATCTTGTCGTAAAAGGTAAGATTTCCTTCTTTTTAACAACCAAGTAGTATTTCATTGTGTAAATGTACCACAGCTCTTTTATCCATTCATCTACTGATGGGCACTTGGGCTGCTTCTAAATCTTGGTTATTGTAAATAACACCACAATGAATGTAAGGGTACATATATTCTTTCTAATCAGTAGTGTTTTGGGTTTTTTCAGATATATTACCAGAAAGTGGAATATCTGGGTCATAAGGCATTTCCATTTTTATTTTTTTTTATTTTGGGGGTAACTCCATACTGCTTTCCACAGTGGCTGCAGCAGTCTGCATTCCCACCAAAAGTGCATGAGGGTTCCGTTTTCTCCACACCCTCACCAACACTTGTTGTTTGTTGACATATAGATCCATGCAAAAGAACAGAGAGCCCAGAAATAAACCCAGGCCTTTATGGTCAAATTAGTATTTGACAAAGGAGGCAAGAACACACAATGGGATAAAGATTGTCTATTCAGTAAATGGTGTTGGGAAAATTGGATGGATACGTGCAAAAAAAGAAAGAAAGAAACCTAGACCATCTTCTTACCCCATACACAAGAATAAAATCAAAATGGATTGAAGACTTAAATGTTAGACTCTAAACCATAAAAATCCTAGAAGAAAACATAGGCAGTTAAATCTCAAACATTTCTCTTAGCAATATTTTTTCTATCTCAGGCAAGAGAAACAAAACAAAAAATAAAGAGATGGGACTACATTAAATTAAAAAGTTTTTGCACAGAAAAGGAAACCATAAGCAAAATAAAAAGACAGTCTACTGAATGGGAGAACATATTCACCAGTGATATATCTGATAAGGGGTTAATATCCAAAATTTATTAAGAACTTATAAAACTCAACACCAAAAAAAAAAAAAAAAAAATCCAATTTTAAAAAATGGGCAAAGGACCTGAATAGACACTTCTCCAAAGTGGACATACAGATGCCAATAGACACATGAAAAGATGCTCAGCATCACTAATTGTCAGAGAGATGCACATTGCAGCCACAATGAGATACCACCTCACACCTGTCACAGTGGCTATCAACATTAAGTCAAGCTTTCCTTTTTTATGTCTAACATTCCACTTTTCATATTATTTCAATAACATTCCGTATTCACGTATATCAGTTTCATTCCTCTAGCCATAGACACTTAGGTTGCTTCCGTGCCTTGGCTATTGTAAATAATGCCACAGTGAATGTTGAGATGCCTCAATCCTGTGAGTTTAGTGTTTCAGATGTCTTCAGATAAATAACAGAAGTGAGATTGCCAAATCATATGATAGTTCTATTTTTAATTTTTTGAGATGCCGTTATACTGTTTTTCGTAGTGCTTGCACCAATTTACATTCCCACGAACAGTGCCCAAGGGTCACTTTTCTCTACATTCTCATCAACACTTCTTGCCTTTTCGATAATCACCATTCTTACTGGTGTGAGGTGACATCTCATTGTGGTTTTGATATGTGATATTGAGCATCTTTTCATATGTCTGTTGACCATCTGTATGTCAGATGGAAAAATGTCTTTTCAGATCCTCTGCCCATTTTTTAATTGGATAGTTTGTTTGAATATACATTCTGAACTATCTATGAATATACCCAAAGAAAATTTGTTTGTTACAACAGTAGTAGCAGAAATATAGTTCACTTTCCCACAAATACTTCCAAACCGCACGGGCTCATGTTTGTACCAGTAGAGTGTTATCAGGATTTGAATGCATTTTAACATTTAATTTCATAAAAATAAAATATTTGAAATGTAGGTTCCCCCCCCCCTTTTGAAGGCGATATGCCAGGTAGTTTTGAAAAAGAATCTCTTTTGGGCTGCCACATTCTTTATAGTGTTGCCCATGCAAATATTCTTCCAGTTAATTTACTTTTTTCCTCAGCCATGGGCTTCTGTTGACAATTGCTTAGGCAGTTTTAGATAATGAGTTTAGTCCAATAGTTCTTTATAATTCTTCATAAATACTATTACTAAAAATTTTCAGTATGGGACTAGTTACGTCTTTCATTCATTTTTGTAAGAATCAGATTTTTTTTAGAGAATACTAGGATTGTGTTTATGTTGTTATTGTCCGAACTTTGGTGGTAATTATGAGCTTAAACCCCTTTAAAACACATAGTCTATTTAATCATTAATATAGCATATAGGTGCTATGGAGAAAATCTTCAAAATGTTGAGAAATATAATGGAAGGTATAAAAAATGGAGAGTTGTATCTTGGGAGGAGAAACTAAACATTATAAAAATGGTAGTTTTTCCAAATTTCTACACTTGGTGTGACTCCAGTGTCAGTGACAAAGGAGTAGAAGTTGAGGATGAAGATAAACCCCAGCGCATGTAGCACCACTTCCAAAAAACTTTGCCCTATAAGGGCAAAGAGGGTGACAACTGGAGGGGCCAAGAGAGTTGGATATTCTTTGTTGTTTCAAAGATAAGAGAATCTAGAGCGCGTCTGAGTGCTGATCTTACTGGGACAGTATATGGAGGGGAAGGAGGAGGGGGCGATGTTTTGAATCAGTGGAATTGGGGACTTGGGATGGTGGTGGGACATTAGTAGATGTATGTGATGGACCAAGGAAGGATCCTGAGAAGCTGTGGGGAGAGAGAGGGATTGGCTCTTGAAAGAAAGGGGGAATTTGAGAGCTTGTATTTTTTTCTGTGAAGTATGAGGCTATTGAGGATGGGGGGGTGAACAGAATGTGGGTATGTCGAAAGTTTGAGAAGAGTAGAGAAAGCCTGAAGATAGGCATTTTGATAAGTGAAATAATCATTTCACTAGAAAAACGTAATAAGATTGCTAGATAGTATTGTCTATAAATTTATAGTGATAGAATTCTGCCTAGTTTTGTGATACCCCCCTTTTTCAGCAACTCTCAGGTTTTCTGCTATAAGTATGGGAGAGGCAAGGATTGAGTTCAGTTTTGATCTTGAAAGAGGAGCTCACTGATCCCTCCTTATAGCCCTATGTGTTTAGAATAAACACAGCCTCCACCTAAGAAGGCTGCAGCCAAGGCACTTGCTCTGGGACATCCCCGTTCAGCTAAAGCTGGTGGTCAAGGGGACGGTTAGGAACTGGTTAAGTGCAGCCATATTTTAAGTGCTTTGGGAAGTTGACTTAAACGTAGTGGGGGGGGGGGAGTGGGGCACCTGTAGTACTTTCAACAATAAAGATTAAAAAAAAAAAAAAAAAGTGAGACAAATTTCAAAGTTTCTATTGATTCTAATTATTTTGGCGTCTTAAAAAAAAAAAAAATCAGTCTATTAAAAAATGTTTATCTTCCAGTTATTTGGTTCTGCAAAAATGAAATGACAAAATAGTTTTTTCTTAGAATGGAGAAAAGATGTGTTATTTGAAGTTCATAACTAGTCTAATAAGATGATGTAAATTTTAGACAAAAAGTAGGAATTAGTACTGTCCATGTTGTATATTCAAAACCTATATTTGGAAAAGCAGTGCAATTATGTTAGCTACTAATATTTCTCTCTCTCTCTCTCTCTCCTTTTTTTTTTTTAGGAAATAGTCTAGTAAGTTTAACCTGCCATTTATTTAGTCTTCATGGACTAATTGAGTACTTCCATTTAGATATGGTGAAACTCCGTAGATTTTTAGGTAAGTGATTCTAACTCATTTAGCAGTAGTAAGATTTATACAAGAACTTTTCAAAATTTGGTATCAGCTAGCTATTGCTCTAAAACAAACCACTCCAAATTTAGTGGCTTAAAACAACATGCATTTATTGAGCTCCTGAGTCTTGGGGCTGCCGCATGCTGCTTCTGGTCTGGCTGCCTCTCTTCTGCGTGCCTGCTGTTGACAACCCACGAGTTGCACGGTGGCTTTGCAGGCCTTGCTGGGGCCTCAGCTGGAACATGGGGCCTGGCTTGGCGCAATTCCATATGGTTTCCTATTAAATTAAAAGAAGGCGGAGGAGTTTGGCACCATAGTAGATTCACATTGAAAACAAAAAAGAAAGAAATCTTTATTTATTTTAAAATAAACTGAGTTTGTTCAGAGTGGTGGCCAGTTTCCAAGAGAGAGCTGGTGAACCGAGACCCCGGGAGCCCTGGGCTCGGCACTGGCCTCCTTGACCTCCCACCTGTGCTGGCTGTTGGAGCAGATCAGGTGGAAATGTACCTGGAGGTGGGAGCTGTGGAGGCTCAGAGCCCTGGATCAGGGCATGGCGAAGAATTGGGACAACTTTGCAGTCAGGTTCTTATGTCAGCCGCAGCTTCCTGACTAACATGACACAATCTCTGTCCCTTTCTAGATGTTTGAAGGCTAAAACTTTAAAAGATCAGTACATTGCATTTAGGCCTCCTGTTTTGACAATAAACTTTAAAGATTATTTGGAATATGTTTCATGTGCAGGGCGATACTTAAGATGCTCCACTAGGAGAAAAGTTAAAGCTTTTCACTGAATAAAATATGGTAGGAAAAAATTGGTAGCATGAGAATTCTTTCTTCTTTAAGTAAGAAGACAGTGTTTTCTTCCCTCTTAAGTACCAAACTAAGATAAATTTATTATGTAGCATTTTTGAGAAGCTTTTAATGCGCATTTTTGAGAAGTTTTTAATGCACATTTATTTATAAATTGCTTATAAAACACATACAAAAATAGGTATTACAGAAGTATTTAAAAAGCGATTTTTAATGATGGGATCAAAGTAAATATAGAATTCCAAGTCTCTTTCCTGCTCACGGATGGTCTATAGTTGCCACCTTGGGGCTGCCGCACGTTACTTGGAGACCACTAGGTTTTAGAATGTCCTGCTGTTGGGCCACAGTGCAGATTTTCTGGTGCTGTGGACAGCTCTCCCTCTAATCCTGGTCCACCTTTTCATGATAGCATAACAGACACAGAGCAAAAAGAAAGGATTAACAGCAAGTCCATCCCTACAAACTGAAATGAATTCCAGATCTAAAATCCCCCTCACTGATGATGTGCTCACTGGTTCATTTTCATATGCCCCAGTATTTACACTGTTTTAGTGTTATGAAGATTTTTGTTCACTGATGAATTTCTAGTACCACCTAGAATAGTGCCTGGCACAATAAATATTTGTTGAATGAATTGTACTGTTTTTACTAAACTGAGAGATTCTTGGTTTCTCAGTTTGATTCACATTTTAAAAGAGAAAGAAAGTATTTTATAATTTTGACATGAATATGAATACCTTCTCATTTAAAAGTTTCAAACAAGTTATGAGTCAAAATGGTATTGATTTTTTAGGTACACATATGAGTTATGGGTGATTATCATCTCTCTGAATCTGAACAGTTAGCTGATAGACACATGGAAAGTGTCAGTAGAGAACTTGTGATTATCCCAGTTTTTTACTTGTCCATGCATCCCATTTACAGTTAAATTGGGGGATCTTTTTCCTTTGTTGCAGTTATGATTCAAGAAGATTACCACAGTCAGAACCCTTACCACAATGCAGTCCACGCTGCAGACGTCACTCAGGCCATGCACTGTTACTTACGAGAACCTAAGGTAAGATGCAGGTGAAAATCCTAAGAAAGTTTCTTTGCTTTACTTTCAAATACTTTTCGCTAAGTTAGTGATCTGACTCAAAATCAGAAGTTTCCTTCACAAGAATGAGATCTAATGGGATCAAGTTTCCAAAAACAGCTATATTTGTAAGCATAGCAACTGGAGAATTGGGAGATTGCTGGAGGAGCAGCCGGAGGAGGAGTCCAAGTGAGGGCCAGATTGCCGCAGCCTCAGGCACAGTCAGGATGTGGCATTTACACTGTGCTCCCTGAGGGCAGGGACAGCCAGTGTGGCTCAGTGGGTGATTAGGGAGCCAGGGAAGAGAAAACTGTGCTGGCCGTTGTGTGAAAATAAACCAGACAAGAGCAGAAATGCAACACAGCTCAAGAGCTGCTTCAGTGCTCCTCGAAAGAGCTCAGCCTGAGCAAGGCAAACAGTTCTAGGGCAGGAGAGGGGTGGACATTGACAAGATCTCTTGGGAATTAGAATGACTTAGATCCGGTGGCCCAGTGCATTTGGGGAAGTGAAGCAGAGGAGGAGTTGGTGACGACTGCCTGGGCAGTTGAATAGAAACTGGAAGTCCTGCGAGAGAGAGAGAGAGAGAGAGAGAATGCAGTTGAAAAGGAGCCCGTTTTGGGGACAGGGCTGGTAGAGGTGGTGACTTCCATTTTGAATATGTGGAGATAAATGTATTTGTTCAATATCCAAGTGGATGTCTATCTAATAGAGAATTGGGTAGAAGAGTCCGAAGTATAGGAGAGAAATCAAACTTACTTTCCCTTCACAGAACTTTTAAAAATTCAGTTTTTTCTTTTCATGTTTCTGTTGTTAATGATTCACTCTTTAATCTACCTGAGATTGTTTGATGTCATGTGCAATCATACATTAAATTTTTTTTAGTCTAATTTTGGATTGTTGGATTCTCCCAGGATGGTACATGTCTATTATTCTGCCACTTCCCCTCTGTTTTAGTTATAAGAATATAACACTTGCATATTGCTTAATAAATTGCTTATTCATAAGATATCCACACATGCCCACATGTTTCTGCGTTGTCGGGAGGTTGTTCTTTGTGCAGCGTGCTCCTAGAGTGTGCCTCCGTTCCCCTTGATTAGTAAGCAGTGCTTTAAAAATCTGTATTTTTTAAATGCTTTCACAAATCCTGAAGAGGATATTTTCTTCACCAAATTCTCCCCATTCATTGAACTTCTCTACATACCACTTAGAAGCAATACAAAAATAAATAGCAAATATTATCTTCCTTCAAACAGCTTACAGTTTTTCAGGGTATTCAGGTCCTTAGATGGTGATTTTTTTTTTCAGACTGAGATGAACTTGACACAAGGGATGGAAGAAGATTCATTCCGGCATAGAAAGAAAATATTAAAATTTGAATCAAAATTTACTTTAAAATTTTTCAGTTTTCACCTTTGTTTTATCATGTTCAATATATGTTAGTTTAGTATCATAGTCTATAAGTAAGTGTACTGATATTGGTGGTATATGCTCAAATTTTTTTACTGCTAGGGCACAAGATCATACAAGTTTAGAGAGCATTAACCTAATGTTACCTAAACAAAAGTACATTTTGCTGCATATTATTATGGCTGACATGTGAGGTGCTGTAGGAACACACATCAGCCATTGCTGGGGAAGGGGCTGCAGGCAGATAACAAGGACTGCTGGGGGTGGTCAGTGGAGCTGGGCCTTAGAAGGTGAGAAGCAGCTGCCAGGAATGAGAAGTGACACATGAAAAGCAGGTGAAACATGTAGCAAGGTGATCACTTTTTATCACTGAAATTTTCAGTCAGGTTATAGACTTTTTACTGTGATTATTTTGTTGTATCGAGTAAGATTATTAATGATTATTGGCAGTAAAAGGATAATGGTTGGTTTACAAGATTTCCTTTTCTGGTGTGTACATTGTGTACGCTGTTCTGAATGGACCATCCATTGGGAGAGGGTTTTAGTACAGGCTTGACATAGACTCCTGCTCTCTGATTACCCTGCAGCCTTGTTAAACATTAGGACCTCAGAAATAACCTCACTTTTTAGATTCTCAATTGAAATCTAATAAACAATTTGTTGATAAAAACCTGTTAAGAGGGTAAATCTCATGTTAAGTGTTCTTATAGTAAGAATTTTAAACCTCATGAGTCTTCTCTGTTTGGTAGTGGCTGTGGTAATTAATAAAAATACACAAACCTGTGTTTATTGCTTCAAAAGCATTCTTTTTCAAAAAGATGGTTTATACTTTGCCATTTTGATTAAGCTTGTTTAAAATAAAGCCATATAAGGATGAGCTTGGTAAACTCCATGTGGTCAGGGACACTGTCCGATCATGCCTCCCCGCAGTGTCGGGATGAGGCCAGCACTGGCAGGTGCCCAGTGGCCTTAGTGAACAGTCTGAAAAACATGAAAAGGGAGGACACTGTCAACACTGCCATTTGGGGCTAATTCAAAACTATTGTGATGGTACAGAGTTGATTTCACATATGTCTGTAATTAATTATTCTTTTGTCAACTCTAGCTTGCCAACTCTGTAACTCCTTGGGATGTCTTGCTGAGCTTAATTGCAGCTGCCACTCATGATCTGGATCATCCAGGTGTTAATCAACCTTTCCTTATTAAAACTAACCATTACTTGGCAACTTTATACAAGGTTAGTGCAGTTTTATCATCAACATTTAATATTCTTGCATTCCTGAAAATGTTTCATGTTTTCAAGAAGTGAAAGTGGTTCACAAATTCTCACTGAATGTTAGAATTTTAACCCGATTAATATTAAAATTTATTTTAATAATAAATAAAACTAATTATTTTATGTTCAGAAAAAGATTTATTCCCATTAAATTACTAACTCAGCTATGCGTTTTTTTGTAGAATACCTCAGTACTGGAAAATCACCACTGGAGATCTGCAGTGGGGTTATTGAGAGAATCTGGTTTATTCTCACATATGCCATTAGAGAGCAGGTAGGTTGGATTCAGACAAATTTAATTTGCTGTGAACTATGAAAATTAAGTTGGCAAAAGTTTTATAAAGTTTTAAAAGTTGCATTATTATGTTCAGGTGTTCCACAATTTTCAGTTTTTGTTAAATTTAATGGGTAAATTATTTTACAAATTTGTATCAAAATTTTAGTAATTTAAACCTATTCATTACAGTACAGTTAGTAGTATATTTTTAGTGAATTTTATGAAAGATCATCCCGTAGGTTTGAGTACTATAAAATTCACTCTAAATACACAATGGCTCAATCACAGTTTACTGCTTATTTTTATAGTATTGCATATTTCCATCTTGTGTTAATTTAAATAAAACATTAATTTCTAGGTATAAATCGAATAGAAAGTAAACACTCTGTAAAACAAATAGATTTATTAAATCTATTTTAGGAAGTTTCAAAACTGATAAGTAAAAATCCTGGAGTCACTTCTGGAGCTATAGGATAAAATAATGAATGGAAAGAACAGAAAATACTAATTTTTTAGACTAGATCAGTTAATGTTAAGCAGGCCATTTGAAAGCCTAATAAAAGGCATTAATGTGAATGAGCCCAATATGGTGGGGGTTGTTGACAAAATCTCATATCATTGTCCATAAACAAAAGCTTTTAGTAATGAATGCCTCACAGAGAGAAGATGCACTTAAGAAAGCCATGTAAATGGTTATAGAAACCAAGTAATTCTAGAAAAAGTGAGGCATAAAGTATGTTTGGGTATTAAAATTTAAGTTACTGTCATGGTTCTTTCCTTTTTCCCTTTCATGATTTAAAAACTTGCGTGTTTTGTGTAATGACCATAAGAAAAAAGCTGGACTTTATTTTTTATTTTTTTAAAATCTTTATTCATGGAGACCATTTGGAGTTATGACAGTACCTCTGGTAAGTGAAATTATTTCTTGCTGAGTACAAAAATTGCTTAAACCATACAGTGTTTGTATATAGAAATTATCTTTTCCTTGATTAAGGTAGATTAAAATGTTTGCTTTATTTCTCTTTTTATCATGTTTTGCATTTGATGATTAACCTGTTGAATTCTCAGATTTATTAATACAAGTAAAAACTGAAAATAAGGAACACTACACAACAGCATTCTTTTGTTTTCTTTGTTTTTGTGTGTAATAGTCAATATTGCAAGCCTTTTAATCTGTTGACAGCTCTGATCATTATACAAAGATAATGTTTGCTATGGCCCATTGAAACAAAAGGCAGGAGTTTTTGTTTTGTTTTTAATCCTCACCCAAGGATATGTTTGCTTATTTTAGAGAGAGAGAGGGAGGAAAGGAAGGAGGGAGGGAGGGAGGGAGGGAGAGAGAAACATCTACGTGAGAAACATCAGTCGGTTGCCTCCACACGTGCCCAGACTGCGGATCGAACCAACAGCCTTTTTGGTGTATGGATGACTCTCCAAACCAACTGAGCCACCTGGCCAGGCAAAAGGAAGGAATTTTTTTTTAAGATTTATTTCTCTTGTTATTTGACTTGAGACAGTATTTTAAAATACCATGTTGGGTTGTTTGTTTGTTTGTTAATCTTCACCTGAGGATATTTTTTCCACTGATTTTTAGGGAGAGTGGAAGGAGGGAAGAGAGAGAGACACATGGGTTGGTTTCCTCCTGCATGTGCCCTGACCAGGGCCTGGGATGAACCTGCAACCCTTTGGTGTGTGGACTGACTCTCTAACCACTGAGCAACATCAGCCAGAGCTAAAATATGTATATTTTTTATTTATATTAACATGTTACCTTTTACCTTCCAGAAAATTTGGGTAGTCATTTAGATAATTGATTGATTCTTGAATATGCATATACAGCCATATACAACTGTTGAACTATCCAGGGTTGGGGAACAGCCCACGAAATCATTTGGTCCTACCCTACCAAAGCAACTGCAGGCAGGACTCGAAATTCAGTAAATCTAGGAGATATTTTCATAGCTAATTCTTAAGTTGATAATTTTGTATGGCCCTTTAATGGTGTTATAAATATCCAAATGGCCCTTGGCAAAAAGAAAAAAATTGTTTCCCCACCCTGAACTATACATATACAGTAGTACCTCGGTTTTCGAATATCTCCGTTGAGGAACATTTCTGTTTACAAACGCCGTAAACCCAGAAGGAAATGCTTCGGTTTTTAAACACGCCTTGGAAGTCGAATATGCCACACACTTCCACTGAGGGCAACAGCTGTCGGCTGTGGATCCCTCAGTTTTCAAACGTTTCAGAACTCGGATGGTCTTCCGGAATGGATTGCATTAAAAAATCGAGGGACCACTGTAGTTGAACCTAACTTTCTCAAACCGTTTGGTGGAATTTCATCAGGACCTATCAGGCATCTTAGTGAGGATGTCTGCAGGAGTCAGTTGAATGGGCTCTTCGTCTTCCTTTTGACACTTCCTTCTCTGCCTTCCAGATCTCAGGTACCAGAAAAGAAACCAAAGTTGTTTACCCTCAGCACATCCCAGTGAAGAACATTCTCAAAACATGTACCAATCTTACCTGTTTTTTTAGGCAAATAATTCCACCTTGGCTGGAAAAATATAGGCACTCTTTTTGGGATATTTGCATATTGGTATTTTCTACAAACTCTCTTGGTTTTAGTTTTGATTATTTTAGTAGGGTTTTTTGTGGGTGCATTCTTTAAAATTCATTTTTTTTGGTGATAGGTTAAAAGTTGAGTTGCAGTTAGAATATCTTAGGGCTCTGTAAAGCTTTCTGAATATTAAGTTTAAGAAAAATCAAGAAGTAACTGTTTAAGTGAAAGTCTTGTATTTTTTCTTTATATTTTTCTAATTCCAGGAAACAAATGGAGACTCAGATCGGTGCTTTGATACTAGCCACAGACATCAGTCGCCAAAACGAGTATCTGTCGTTGTTTAGGTCCCATTTGGATAGAGGTGACTTATGCCTGGAAGATGCCAGACATAGGCATTTGGTTTTACAGGTAAAGTGGGGCTTGGAAAGGTTCTACTTCTGGGGTAAATCATGTGATTATTAGAATAAAAGTAAAATATTCTAGTGTAGTGTTCAGAGTGGTTAAATCTTGAGAGAAAGCTGTGGGCTCCCTTCCCTGAAGGAGAGCCCACTCCCGAGAAGGACACCGTCGCTTCTGCATTGTTCGCATTCGGGATTTCTACTGAAAACAATGTTTGCAAAATTAGGGTACCATTAACTAAAAGCATTTTATTTTAATAAGTTCTCATATCTAAAAAATGACAGGGAATTGGATGATTTATTTGTAGCTTTATGGGTAATCCAGGTCTTGTGCTCGGCTATACCATTAGGTTCAGTCTTGCAGCATTTCTGGAGAAGTGATTGGTAGACTAATAGAATCATAAAGTTAATATAAAAAATGGATTTTCTGTTGCAATTTTTTTTTAAGGTTTTTTTTTTTACCCTATTTAGAGTAGATTTAAACTTAGTACAATTGAAATTTTACTTTTTTTCTTAAAACAATGTTAATACTTTTCTTGCTAGATGGCTTTGAAATGTGCTGATATTTGTAACCCATGTCGGACCTGGGAATTAAGCAAGCAGTGGGGTGAAAAAGTAACAGAGGAATTCTTCCATCAAGGCAAGTTACAGTATTGGTGCTGATTAATCTGTTCAGTTCATTTTCTTAGGATCATATGGATAAAATAAGACATTTATAGGAGTCTGGTGGTAGATACTTGATATTTTTAGTGACAGTTTATAGTAGATGCACATACAACCAATGTACAAATTGAGCATGCTTTTATTTTAATTTTATTTTTTTAAATTAAGTTTCTTTTTTTAAATATCTTTATTGATTTCAGAGAGTGGAAGGTAGAGGGAGAGAGAGAGAAGCATCAATGATGAGAGAGTTATCATTGATCGGCTGCCTCCTGCACGCCCCCTACTGGGGATCAAGCCCGCAACCCGGGCATGTGCTCTGACCAGGAATCGAACTGCTATCTCCCGGATCCTACCTAGGTTGACGCTCAACCGCTGGGCCACACCTGGTTGGGTGAACATGTTTTCTCTTCTAGTCATCGGCTGTGTATGCATGCATTTATGAATTGACATAGATCAGGTTGGAAATTTTACTGAATGGAAAAATTTCCCTGACCTTCCCCCTCCTGTGTGGCGGGCATGGCCATATGAACGCATAAGACATTTTTGTAATTGAAAGCCAGGAGCCACGGATCTTCATTTTATGCACCTTCCTTTTAGAAATCTAAGATTTAAATTAAAATGCTGACAGAATTCCAGTCTTGTGGTAAAACACCTGGTAAGAGCTTTCCACCACCTCCATTTAATATAGGCTATCAGCTTGGCAACTTTCCCATGTGTGAGTAACTAATGTAGAAGCTGTCCTCTCCAGAGGATTAACTGTGTTACCTTTTTCCTAAGGATTTTACAGGTAAGACGAAGACATTAAGTATACACGTACTCGGGAGGTGTGCTCCACATAATAGTTCTGTCTCCTTTTGTAATTTCTAGGAGACATAGAGAAGAAGCATCAGCTGGTTGTGAGTCCGCTTTGTGACCGTCAGACGGAGTCGATTGCCAACATCCAGATTGGTAACTATGCAGAGATGCAGGCTGGCCAGAAAAATGCCACTGACTTTTAACTTTGTCGAGAGAAAGATACATTTGAAATATAAAATACTACAATTATGCTCATTTCTATTTTTTTAAATAATTTTACATTTTTATCCTTGTTTTTCCTTTTTTAGCACTTACAGTTTACTCTCATTTGACCTTAGGTTGTAAAAAGCATAATTTTTGCAGCGCACGTAACAATAACTTTGTTTTTGTTCTAAAACGGGAAGAAATGCATAATTTGTTCTTGTGGAAGCTTTTTTGCCTAATTCTGGGGCTGCCCTTCTCTCATGAGAAGGTGGCCGCTGAGCTGTGATGTGAGACCAGTGTGCACTGCTGCTCAGTACACTTCCTTTGTGTCACTGCCTCTTGGTTAAAGCAGTTCCTCCACCTCTCGCGCTGGCTCTTGAAATCTAGCCTTGAAGTGTCCCTTCAGTCTTCGCCCCAGCGACTTCCCCTTGTTTCCCTAGAGCAGCCTGGGGCCGCTTAGTGTTCCCCAAGCCCACGCTGCTCTTCCTGCCTAATGGACTCCACTTCCCTGTCACGTCCTCCAGCAGCTGCCTCCTCTCTCCAGGTAGTCTGTCCTCTCCCGGCTGACGTGTCTTTCTCAGCTCTCAGGTCCCTCCTGGCCTTAGTAATGTACCCCGAGGCCAGCGCAGCGCCTGGAGCAGCAGGCACGGGACCGCGGGGAGGGAACCGTAGCTGGAAAAGGTGTGACGAAGCGGCCGTGTGGACGCTGCAGCTTGTTGCGGGGGGAGCCAGGATCGGCTGATGGGTCGGGCGTATGGGGTAACTCAGCAGCGGGGTTTTGAGGAATGGCTGTAACTTTGGTAGCTGGTGTTGAGTAGGGCCTTTGAGAATTAGGTTGAATGTAGTGAAAATGTGTACACAAACTTCAGAAAGATAAAGTTTCTAGAAATTCAGAAGGTAGCGTGATACTGTGGCATAATACTCTGAAAGGAGGGCTGTGCTGTAGCTCGGAAATTCAGAAATATAATTCCCATTGTAATCGCAAAGGGTCCTTGTGTGGAAGACTTGGGCAGTAACTGACTTGACTGTGGAGGAGAGTCCGCGGGACGCCGTTCTCCTCGGAGCCCAGGTTGGCCAGGAAAGCTGAGGAGGTTCGCAAGAGGATAAGACAGAACGTAGATCTGCTCTGCCTTCTCAAGTAGACTTATCTTCAAACGTAAAAGAATGGATTAAATACAGGAAAGAGGGACTTGAGGCTGGGTGAATGGGTAGTAAACTCACTATAGCTACTTTAAATGTCTTTGCCTGAGCACATTACTCCCTAGATTAATGGGAGAACTTGCAAATGAGATTTCTTAAAATTGCAGTATTTTAAAGGAAAAAGAAGCTAGATGCCTTAAATTGTTCATCTCGGTCTGTAGGTTGTCAGTGTTGGAAAGCTCTAGAATGGATTATCAGAAGAACAGGGAAAGGTAAATGATGATAATAGTTCACATGTACTGACTCCTCACCGCCACCCTAGGAGACAAGTCATGCTGGTATTCTCTTGTTCAGATAGTTTCCCCAGTTTATACTGTTAACAGGCATTAGTCTTTCTCATGTCAAATTCCAGGTAAAATGGGGGTTGAAAAGATTCTGATTCTAGAGTAAATCATGTGACTGTCAGAATAAATTCTGTGCTAAGCAGTGATTACCTGGAGCTAGCATAGTCAGTCAGTAGAGGTCACGTTTAATTAATACAGTTTCCTTCTTTGATAGGAATACTAGTTTCATTGGATGAGCACATGGCATACTGGTTAGAGCAGGGCCCCTGACCGGGCATCCGGTGGGTCCAGAGACGAGCTCGAGCGCGTGGGCTGGTGCAGTTAAGTGGATTCACGAGGGCTGAGCAGCTGGCGGGTCCTGCCCTCCGGGTGGGTGCTGCGTGGCTGTGTCCATGACTCGGCCCATTCATTTTTATCAGATATTAAGACCTAACAGAAAGTTTAGGTTAACATAGAACCAGAAGCGATAATTTGTTAGATATTAGAGGCAGAATCTCAAAGCTCGAAACCATTTGGAACAGTGGGGAGAGTCAAGTAAGATGAGTCACGTAAAACCCGTGACAGTGAGGTTCTGCATTTGGGCACAAAACCCCAGCTGCTCGTGCCTTAGCCGTGGCGCCTGGAAAGGACTGGGCTCTGGGGCTGGTCCAACCTGACACTGCTGGTGTAAGGATGGCTGCCCAAAGCTGCGGTGTCTGGCTCCGTAGTGACATCTTTCTGCGTTTGCCTCTTCCTCCTCACCAGAGCCTGGCTCCTTGAGGGCCGGTCCTGTCAGCTTCATTCCTGGCCCTGCCCGGCTACCCTAGAACAGTCTGGCACATAGGTGCTCAGCGAATGTGTGTGGAGGGAGCAGAAGAAATGAAAGGAAGCCTCGTTCTTGTACTTCAGATTCTGTAATTTGTACACTTAAAAAAATTCAACCATCAGACCAGAGACTGGTTTTCTAATTAAAAATAGTGGGTGCTGACTGCTTTAATTTCAGTGAGATTTCTTGGCTGAATGGAACCTGTGTTGTCTGTGGTCAGCATGGTCTTTTGCTGCAAACAGAAGTTTCTGGAGATAAAGAAAATTTAAAAACTGGTTTACACAAGCAGTGATAGAATTTGAATGTACACTTTTCCTGTCCTTAACAGATCAAAAGTTAGGAAGATAGTGTTATTTGTTTCTCCTAATATGTATGATTTCATTGATAGGTATTTTCTGGGAGGCCTCATTTCACCATGTGTGAGACACTCGGTAGTATTAAATCAGATATAATGTACACTTGAGTGCTATTTAAAGATGCAAACAGTCCTGAAATCACTCCTTTTCCTTTGCTGACTGTGAATTAAGGAGATCAGTATATGGGTTGCTTATAAAGTAGGACCCTAATCTCCTCTGTTCTTTCTTTCATTTCTTCCGTTTCCCCCCACACACATAATTTTTGTCAGGAGTTTTGGCTTATGAATTCTGAAATAAAATGGCTTATTTTAGTCATGACCAGGTGTGAAGATTACCATCCCTGAGGGTAGAAAGAGGGAAATCGCCTCGCCCCCTGCTCCCCTTCATTCAAGCCTGAGCCCCACAGTCCTGGAGTAGACACCCCTTAGCCTTGGCTGTCTCACTGGAACTGTCCCACACATTGTGTTCCACCCGCTGTCCTCAGAGTCAGTAAGGCCACTGCGTGTTTGCTTCAGTAGAAGGGCGTGGTCATGCAGCTGAGAGGAGTCATCAGAAAAGATTTGATGTTTGTCAGTTCACCTTTAAATTACTTAAGAAACACATTCTTCAGAGAAGATTTGTAAATTTACATACACATTAAACTTTTTGAAAAATAAGATGTAGGTAATATTGGAATAGGACTTAAGAGAGTAAACAAAGTAGAGATGGTTTAAAGATAGTTTCAGAACATATGTTGATACCTTTTCTCTTTTTTCTTAAGGTTTTATGACTTACCTAGTGGAGCCTTTATTCACAGAATGGGCCAGGTTTTCCAATACCAGGCTGTCCCAGACGATGCTCGGGCACGTGGGGCTGAATAAAGCCAGTTGGAAGGGACTGCAGAGGGAGCAGTCCAGCAGCGAGGACACCGAAGCTGCCCTTGAGGAGTTGAACTCACAGTTATTACCTCAGGAAAACCGGTTGTCATAGCCCAGAGTCAGTGCATCAGGCTGCCCCCTGGAAATTGTTAGAAATGTGAAGTGGGGGCTGGAGGTGAGGGAACCAACTCGGCCGCCCAGGTTTCCAGTTCCAGCTGACTGGGTGCTGTGAGCATTATTCATGTCCAGGATGCCCTCTTTTGGATCATTTGAACCCACTTTTTAATGAGACCTGAACATACAGCAATATGGATTTGGCTCTCACGTGAAACCTTGAATCCGCAAAGCCCAGCAGGAGTGAATCCGGAAGGAGAAACAAAGGAGGTTTTGTGGAGTGACTCGTGTTTCTCACAGCGTTTATTCTCTGAACCATGAAACTTGAACTGAATCTTTCAGCAGAAATCTCTTGGAATTTAACCAGTCTGATGCAACATTGTGTATCTGTCCCTTCCACCGAGTTCTCTCTGAAAAATGGAAATGTGAAGTGCCCAGCCCCTGCTGCCTCTGGCGAGACTCGATGTTTACAAATCCACTCTGAAATACTGGTTCTAAACTGCCTTGGAGCATAATTGCGAAGGAACCACTAAGAATTTTAAAGATCAAACTTTAAACTGCAGCTCCTTCCCCCTGGTTTGCCTTTTTTCTTCTTTGGATGCCACCAAAGCCTCCCATTTGCTCTAGTTTTACTTGTGCACTGGAAACTGTGCATTAGCATAGAGTACGCCAAGCTTTCCCTCCAGTGCTGTTTGGCAGTGCCCTTTTTTAAACTATTAGTTTTGATTTGGGGCGGGAGGGGAAGAACACCAGTGTCCTAGCTGTATTATGATTCTGCAGTGGAGACATTGCATGTTGTTTTCACTACTGTACACTTGACCTGCACATGCAAGAAAAGGTGGAATGTGTAAAACACCATAATCAGCTCAGGGTATTTGCCAATCTGAAATAAAGTGGGATGGGGAAGTGTGTCCTTCAGAGCAAGGGTACTAAAGTCCCTTTCGCTGCAGTGAGAGGTATGTTGTGTGTGAATGGGCGGATGTGTGTCTGTGTGCATGTTGTGCATGTGTGACTGTGCATGTGTTCTATTTATCCATGTGGGAAAGGTTGGACATGTATGCTTTTATTTATTTTAGAATGTGATATAATGAGCAGCCACACCTGGGGGGAGGGCGGGGAGGGGAGCTGAACAGATTGCTCCAGTTGCCTTAAACTATGCACAAAGCTAAGTGACCAAACTTCTTGTTTTGATTTGAAACAAGTGCATTGTTTTCTTGTCTCCCCCTTCCCCCCTTTTTGATGAAACATTACCCTTTGATGGGCCTTTTGATGTGAACAGATGTTTTCTAGGACAAAAATCTAAGGACTAATTTTAAACTTAAAACATTCCACTTTTGTAATTTGTTTTAAATTGTTTCATGTATAGTAAGCACAACTGTAATCTAGTTTTAAGAGAAACCAGTGCTTTCTTTTAGTTTAATTGTATTTCCCTTGTTACTGTAAAAGACTGTTTATTAATTATGTTTACAGTTTGTTGCAACAGCCATTTCTTGGGAGAAAGCTTGAGTGTAAAGCCATTTGTAAAAGGCTTTGCCATACTCATTTTAATATGTGCCTGTTGCTGTTAAATTTTGATAAATAAAAACCTATCTTTTCACATTTTATCTTTGATATTTACCTTATAATTAACCCTTTGGAAATCATAACCCTAAATTACCAGGAGGTCAAAGATGTAGCTTCTTGGCTGTGGCATTCACTCATTACGTGTTTGTTCAGGCAGAGCTGGGCGCAGACACAATCCTGTGGGGTGATCTGCACTCACCACTGAGCAGACCGAGGCCCTGGTGACGAAGTCTGCTCAGAGGTCAGCTTTGAACCCAGACCTCTTGACCCCACAGCCTTTTGTTCCCACAGCTGGAAATTGCGTAAGATTTAGCACCTTTTGCAAGTACTACAGTACTAGTTGTATTGGCCTTTTTAAAGTAATAAGAAATGGCCACTTAATTCTACTTGATTGATATCAATGTAAGAAAGGTATCCCTGGGCCTCTTCTGTATCTTCCCAAGTTCAGTGCATTGGAAGGGCTGCAGGACAGGCTTTGAAATCAAACACATTGTCATTATTGGCATAGAAGAGTGACACCCCATAGAACTATAATGTGAGCCACAGAAGTGATTTTCAGTTTACTAGTAGCCACATTTAAAAAAGAGAAACTATAATTTATTTCAATATAGTATATATACTTTATTATTTCATTACGTAGTCATTATAAAAAGCCATTGAGATGTTTAAATTCTTTTTTTGGCACAGTCTTTGAAATGTGGTATGTATTTTACACTTAGGGTGCATCTCAATTCATACTAGCCACATTTCAAGTGCCCGGTATCCACATGGGGTAGAAGTGGCTACCATTTTGGACAGTGTGGGTACAGAAATCTGACAGTAGCAAAGCTGAGTGTTCCTGGGGAAAGTCAACTGGCCACTCATGAGGTGGCAGCACCTTGGCAAATTGGATGCATCCGAAGTCTGATAAAGTTCTTTACAAGCTTCATAGACCTGGTGTGTCAGCACATGGAGAGTGGAACTATCAGAGCAAACTCACATTAACGAAGCTCACAATAACTGATGTTTTTAAAAAGTGTTCGTATTTAAATTTACAATGGGAAATATAACTATCAATCATTCTCTCCCTTTAGGCAGATCTTGGGAAGCCAGATCGTGATGAGCCGGTTACTTGGTGAGCATGGATTCTGAGCAAGGGAAGCAAGTTGCCTCATGCATCCATCTCCCTATGGGGCCTTCCTGCTGATATTCACGTTTGTGGAGCAGGGTTCCCTCTTCCCGTGGACGATGCTAGAGGTTCTCTGCCAGTCACTGCTTCTCCACATCAGCTTCTGATTGGCACTTCCAGTAGATATGTCAGTACCTTCAGCCTTGTCTCTTTTGAACTGGCCTGGGCTCCATCTGCCTGTGTCTGACCGATTGCTTTTGCTTTGATCCACTGTTTCTTAATGATATTCAAAGGATTGTCTTACGTCCATTCTCAGGGGGAGACTCCTCAGTGTTGCTCTCATTTCTTGCCTAATACATATGATAAACCCATTGAACTGGTTTTTTTTTGTTACATGTATGTGGGAATCACTGTCTATACTGCTTTTTAAATATGNGTTTATTTTGTTACATGTATGTGGGAATCACTGTCTATACTGCTTTTTAAATATGACCTATATTCCTTGAACATTAATTTTCTAGAAAAATTTGAGATAACAGTTCAATAATTTAGAATAATTAGATAAAATAATTTATCTAAAATAAATTTAAAATAATTAGATAAATTATGGAATGGATTGCAAAATTTTAAAGATAAAACAGGAGACTTCAAAGAATTGAGCATGTAGCAGCCCATTGGGGCTCTAGACCCAACTCTTCANAAAGAATTGAGCATGTAGCAGCCCATTGGGGCTCTAGGCCCAACTCTTCAGTTGTGGGGACATCTCCTCTGCTTAGGGGTAAAGGTCCTTGGAGAGAAAATTTTTGCAAGCCTTAGGTTAATGAAAAAAGATCTGGGTCCCGGTATTTGTATTCTGTAAATGTGATGGTTTGTAGTGATTCTCTGTATAAAATAACTAAATATTTTATGTCCTTTGCAAACCTGGGAAATATATTTGTACCTGACATACAGGTTTAGAGGTGCTAGTAATTCTTTGAAGATTCCTGTAACAGTCTTTTTCCAAAATGCTTTCTTGCCTCTTAAAGCTTTCAATTTTCTTAAAACTTTGAAACTTTCACATCAGAGGTTTACAGTGTTTTTCATNTTTTCCAAAATGCTTTCTTGCCTCTTAAAGCTTTCAACTTTCTTAAAACTTTGAAACTTTCACATCAGAGGTTTACAGTGTTTTTCATGTGTCCTTTTTAAAATGTATAAATATTTTGTTTAAATCCCCACCCAGTCAGTATCTTCTTGCTTGGGAAAATATATGATGACTGATAGCTATGATGCATTCAGTAATGTTTTTTAAATAAATGTGCATATTAAACACCATAGTATCAGCATACATTTGAAGCATAAGGTTGTACAGATACATGCAAGACTTAGTCTGAGCCATTCCTTGCTTGCTATGGATCTGCAGACAACTTGTGTCTTTTGGAGGGCCCCAAAGGTCCACGGCAGAATGACCGTACTTGTGGGTGAGCTGACTGGTGGTGTATGGGGAGGGGTCGGGGACACCACGGGCCTCATCTGGTCTCTCGTGCTCAGCACAGGGCTAGCGTAAATTGGGCCATCAGGAAGCGGTTGTTGAACAAGTAATTTGGTGGTTTAATCATGTGTTTCCTTTTTAGCTGTCATTAACAGAAATTATACTGAAACTAAGTAGTCTGTTTATGCTGAAGTTATGTGGTAAGCAATATCCAAGTTCCTGTGTGTGCAGAGCACTGCGCTGGATATAATAAAGGTATTAAAAATTCCAGAACATGGTCTCTGTTCTCAAAGTGTTTGGGTGACAAAATGATGTGTGGAGTGTTTGCTACGCATGGCGGGTTTCCATGTTGTACAGAATGAATGCCAGGGGTCGGAGTGTTTAGAAGGAATGGTTTAGTTCATTAATTCTCTTCCGTACTGTCTGCTCTGTTTCCAGTGCTTTCTAATGCATTCTCCACCTCATTTAGTCAGTTCTTCAGCTCCAGAGTGTGGTTCTTTATTGTCTCAGTCTCTTTGGTAAAGTACTCCTGGTCATTAATTTTATTCCTGAGCTCCTTGGACTGCCTTTCTGAGTTTCCTTGGATCTCATTGAGTTTTTTCATGACTGCAATTTTGGATTTTGAATGCTCTGTCATTTAGATCCCAGTGTCCTATGACTTTGATTTCTGAAGAATTGTCATTTTCTTTGTGTTACTTCGTTGTTCATGTGATTGATGTTGTGCATCTGAAGTAGTGAGCACCTTTCTTGATGATACTTAGGGGTCTTTCTTTCGTTTTAGTAGATACGCTGTTTGTAGCACAAGTTTTTGTTTTCTCTTACCTGTGTTACCTACACCCCCGCAGTGGTGGTGTGTCCCTGCTGTGTCTGTGTCACCTGGGTCTCAGGGCACCACCACTCTGGAGAATTCGGTGAGTGGGGGGCAGCCAGGTTTGTGAACCCCAGCGCTGTTACCTGGTTCCCTGTGGTCAGATGCCATGGATGCATCTCTGCTGCAGCTACTGGGCTCCACTGCAATCAAGGGAGGGAGCCAGGTTTTCAGGCCAATGCTGCTTCTGCTCCTTACCCTCCCTGGGCCAGTGTGTGGGGGCTGCACCCCAACTCCTCCACCTCTACCATGTTAGCTGGGGCTCCAGGCTCGGCCACAGGGGCCGGGGAACTGCGTCCTCAGGCACTGTCCCTGTCCTTCCCCCCATCCTGCCTCCCCTATGTATTGGTGTGTGGACCTCCTTGGCATGCTAGTGTGTTGAGCAGTGCCTTTGTTGGGTTACAGAAGTCCATAGGTGCAAATTTCAGGGAAGATACAAAGGGGTCTTCTCCACTGTGATGCTATTTTTTTTTTTTTTTAATCTTTATCTGAGGACATGTTTTTATTGATATTTTTTTAAAGAGAGAAACATCAATCAGTTGCCTCCCACCCCACCTGGGGATCAAACCTGCAACCTAGGTATGTGCCCTAACCAGGAATCGAACCCACCACCTTTTGGTGCACAGGACAACACTCCAACTAACCAAGCCACCTGGCCAGGGCTACATGAGATTCTTGAGCATAAATGTTAAGTGTTTGTTGTTGAGCCATCTCCTATAAAGAATCAGGAGGCTGCATGATATTTCAAGTTCCTTTATTTTAGCTGAAATTTATATACGTTATATATCTAAACTTTTTGAAGAAAGTACCCTTAAAGGAATGTTTCAGGTTCCTAATCAAACATTTGAATTTTCCTCTAAGAATTATCACAAGATGCGGGGTTAGCCTTTTCCATTATGGGGAAGATTACTCAGGTTACCTGGGGCTTTATCCTGAGGATCCGTGTTGTGGGAATGGAGAAGAACCTTTGTGGGGGCCGCTGGGAGCAAGCCTGCAGCCAGGCATTCCGAGGGGCAGCTCTCTGCTGTACCCGCTCATTCCTCCCACACTCCTGCCCCGCTTCTCATCTCTACCTTGCGCTCTGCTCAGAAAGGTGGCATCATGTCGTTTTTAAAAGCCTTTACAGCTAGACAGATCTGGGTTTGGGGCTTTTGTCATTTATTAGCTGTAGGTCCTTGGGCAAGTTACCTAATCTCTTGAGTGGCTTCCTAGCCTGTAAAATGTGTTTCTTAAAAGTAAATAATGTGCCGTAGCTGGTTTGGCTCAGTGGTTAAGTGTCAGCATGTGGACTGAAGGTCCTGGGTTCGATTCCAGCCGAGGGCACGTATCTCGGTTGCAGGCTCAGCCCCGGCCCTGGTCGGGGTGTGTGAAGGAGGCAACCAATTGATGTCTGTCTCTCACATCAGTGTGCCCCCCGCCCCCACTCTCTGAAAAGCAATGGGAAAAATATCCTCAGGCGAGGATTTAGAAAGTAAATAATGTATTGACACAGTTAAGTGCCAAACCAGTGGCCTCATTCATTTCCTCCTAATGTTTTGTATAAAGTGCTCAGGAGTACAGCTGTCCTCATGTCATCATCCTTTGAACTCCAGGTACCAACTGCCCCTCTGTCCAGGCTTCCTGTTCAGATCCCCGAGGGACTGACTGGACCAGCTTATGGAGGCTGTGTTCTCGGGCCTGCCAGTCAGCACTACCCGGCGTTCCTCGCGGAAGGGAAGGGAAGGGAAGGCAGCGGTGCAGGCGCTGGGCAGTCTGCCTTCGAGCTGGGTTAAGGAGTATTCAGAGCCGGGCCCCGGGATCAGTCTCACGTACTCCCGTCCCGTGTTGCTAAAACCAGCATTTCAGACGACGCCCCAGCCAGAGTAGTTCTCACCCTTGATGCAAAGCGCACTGGCCAGTGAACAGGGGTGGCCATTGGGCAAGATCAACAGCAGATGGCGTAGCTCCAGCAAAAATCCTGTCAGGAAGCTTGGCCTTTCTCCCCGGTAAGGCTTCTCCCGCCAGGCAGGCAGTTCGGGGGGGCTGCTTGGTACCGGCCCCGCTGCTTGGTACAGGTGGGGCGCTGGTGGGCTGCCTTGTTCACCCCCCCTGGGAATGTCCAAATCACCCAGGTCCTACTCTAACCTATGGAAGGCGCACTCTGTGACCTGCAGAGAGGCGGGAGGACCTCCCGCTGTGGGAACATGAAGGCAGCCAGCATGTAGGAAGTGGATTAAGGACAGTAATCTCCTGACGGAGACGCACGACTTCTGGTTCCTTACTTGGTGATGCTGTTTATTATCCTGTGTCCTCAAGTGACGCACTAGTACCAAAGAACTAGCCTGCTCACAAGATTGACAAGGAAAAACTAGAAAGAACTCTAAGAAATAGGTTCAGTAGGGTAGCTCAGAAGAATGACATCTCTAGGATGAGAAGGGAAAGGACTCAGGAGGGGCTGAAAGCTCATGAAAACACTGGGACAACAGACATAACTGATATTGTCATTAAACTAAGCATCTCTTTCTGCCTGACAGTCTCAGAGCTGATTTTCCTGGGTTAACTCCTGAAAGTTTTAAACTTCCACTGGCCAGATTCTAACCCAGAGAGAATATTTTTGGGTAAGTTATCAGAAGGATGGTTTTTCCGAAATATTTGTTTTTGGTAATTATTACCCTGTGGTGTCTTCTTTCCCACTTAGACTTACAGGAATTCTTAATACAGCAAGAGGACAGGATTCTTCCACAGAAGAGGCTGTGACTGGGGAGACAACCAGAACTACAGACTCTAGGCCTGCTGCTCCACCCTAAGCCTGTGCAGGGGTCAGGGACCAACCATATATCGTAGGAGAAATCAGTCTACTGGAAACTATGGTGACCTCATATAAAATGATTTAAGTAATAACTTATTTAGCACTCTACTTACTGTTCACAGAATGTGTTCAAATCATTTCATTTAATCAACAATTTTTTGAGCTGAGCATTATTCCCATTTTAAAAACAGAGGTGTGACTTGGCCAGATCACATACATGGATCATGTGTAACTCCAAGGCCAGTGTTCTCTGACTCATACTGTGTATATGTACTGAATCCCTGAACTAGTCAGAATCATAGTAGACAAAACATATCAGTTACTTAACTGCATTTTATAGCTGAGGCTTAAAAGGTTAATTTTTAAAATCTTTCACTTCAGGTATTGTTGGAAGAGAGAACCAGAAACTGAATGAGGTGAGCACTGAGGAAAATCATCCCTCGTGACGGCCCTTCAGTTTTAATGCTGAAATCCTTTTAAGATTAGAAAGGTGAATGAAAGACAGTGTAACTTATTCTAAGGAGTACATTTCCACTTGAAAAATGTAGAAAGCAAATTACTCTTGAGAAGCTACATGTGCTATAAAACAATCCTACCTATAGTAAAAAAAAGAAAACATGTATGTAGGCTTTATGGTCCAAGGAAAAAGTTTTCTTTATTTCAAATTGGAGCACTGGCCAAAACTCAATACTGATACAAATGTAAATTTCTTCTTAGGAGGTCAAAATATGTGTGTCAGGTATACTGTATGAATTTCTTTTAAAAGCAGAATTTTTAAACCATATAAAACAATTAGAAACATTGTACATCAACAGCATGTATAAAATAAGCCACTGTTCATATTTAAGCTGATAACCAAACCATGTAAGTTACCTCAACTAGTACTTGCTAACATCTAGAACATTGCACATATTTTCAATAACTTAAAAGTTAGGGTCTATCTACTCTCATCTCCCACCCCCTAGAGGAAATACAACTTTTTAAAAATATATTTAAATAAATCCAACTATTTACTCATGGTAGGAGATTCAGGCATTAACTATAGTTGAGTTTAAAAGAAATAAAGAAATCATGAAGATTTATCAAGTATTTAAAAATGATCACTTGTAGCAATTCATTAGAAGCCTAGATGAAAAAGGCAGCTCTCTACTTCCTATAACAGCTAAGGTTTATGCTGCATAATGTAATTCGGCAGAGCAGCATTCTGATGATGAACATCTTATAGGAAATTTTTTCACCTACTCAGTGTTCCATTTTAAAGCTATTATTTTGACCAGTATTAAAAATTTTAAACTCCATTATGCCAACAATTTCCAGAAGTATTAACTTAGCAACAAGTCATTTTTATGATGCCATTTATTAAACAAAAAAAAGATGGAACATTCTGGTTTTCACTTTAAAAAGAGATTTAATTCAATACTTTGATTCCTCCCTATTTGCAAACTATCCTTTCTTCCTCAGAATGGACGGCAGTGAGTATTATGCAGAGTTTCTACTCAAACCCCATTTCCAAGAAAATNCCCTTTCTTCCTGAGAATGGACGGCAGTGAGTACTATGCAGAGTTTCTACTCAAACCCCATTTCCAAGAAAATGTGAGAGAAAATCTAAGATAAAAGTTCTATTTGAGGTAAGAAGATTCCCATCTTGTTCTAACAATATTTCATTTCTAACAAACTGTTATGCCAGCTCTTCCATCAATGACTAGTGAATGATCACTGAAAACAAATAGCACCCTCATTATATAATTTTACAGACTGCCTTATATCCAAATATATGCATTTAGAACATTTGTACAGATACATTAGTGTTAAGAATTGAAAACGCCCATCTACAAATGTCCTTTCTTCATTCAGAAATCTAGATCATTGTTTTCAAAACTGGAAACCTAAACATCCTGACTATACATTAAAACATGTTATGTAAGGATATAAATATGTTCTGGAAAACTTCAGAGCTGACCTGATAAAAGCAAACAAAAACTTGGAGTCCTTTTGCTATTGCTTAATCCTCTAGTTAGCATTAAAAGGAGACTACTGAATATTAAATTCAGGTATTTACTAAACAGTGTTGATTTCTACTAGCTGAACCAGGTTTCTCAGGAATTTGAAACATTTTCAATTAAAGCCTTCATTTTTCCTGTAGACTTCAACATGTGTGGCCCAAACTAGAAAAGAAACAAAATGTATAAATAAAGATATTGGTTCATATAATGATATAACCCCTTCCCAATCACAGATCAAAGGGCTGGTATGTTCTATATGAAAAACCAGGCAATATTAAAACTTTCATGAATTGACAGGTTGTTATAAACATGACATTGAAAGGCAAAGAGGTGACCAAAATGCTTCCTAGAAAAGTACAATCACCTTAGCAAGACCTAGCTTAGTCCAATTTTACTTCTGTGAGTAAAACAAGAAAGTACCACAAAGTTTCCTTTTCAATGTCTATAAAGACTTTCAAAGATGCTAGAATTTCTAGATATCTGTCTCTCTGCAACAGGTAAGTTATTGTCATGGGGGACATGTGCCTGACTGAAAGGAATGTATAGATTAAGAATTGAGCAGACTTCGTGGAAGCATGGCACACATCCTGTAAGGCCCACGTCCAATGTTACCCTCTTCAGAAGACTCTCATGGGGCATCCTAAGAGAAAATGTTTCTTTACTGTGAATTTCTATATCACAACATATAGGCCAAAGATATCAATTTTAATAAATTTGACTTCATTATGCTTAAATATTAAGCACAGCATGAAAAATTTACCATTGGAGATGTTAAGCAGTGAAACCAGGGGTTAATTTTTGCTTCCTTCTTTATGCTCTTCTGTAAGTAATTCTGCTATGTAAAGACTAAATCCTTTGAATCTTGCAGAGGACACAGCTTGTAAAATGTAGGTGCTCAGCAATGGTGTGGATACTACGTTGTACTAGGAAAGAAGCCGGACCTAATACTCACCAACACTGTTTCTGAAGTGGCCTCTGATGCAGACTTTGGAATTCCTTTTTCAGCCTCACCTTGGCTATCACTTCGATACCGGTAAGCAAATTTCTTTTTCAGAGCCTCTGCTATGAGAGCAGCAGGGTCAGTAGCATCTACAGGTTTGGGCTTTGTATCTTGTTCTGACCTTAGAGAAGTGAACAGAAACCAACGAGACATTTCAGTATGCTAGCATCCCTCCGGGAAGTACTCTGTGTGCCTTTCTAGGCCTGACAGCCTTTCTCTAGCACCACAGATACCCCATGAAAACACTGCTAGCAGTGAGATGGAAACTGGAGAATTAAGGCTCAATGAAAGCGCACAGAGGTGCCCAATGAACAGCCACTCAGTTCATCTCAAGAGCACCGATTATGTCCTTTCAGGGCAGGTACACAGTTCCATTCTTCTCCGGAAGCCTAGTGACTACACAACATGGCTTTACTGAGTAAATGAC